AAACCGGAGTGCCCAAAGCTCAAAAAGAAGGAAGAGCTTAAAAAGGGGAAGAAGAAGGCACTAAAAGTCACTTGGGACGATTTAAACTCAGACCAAAGTGATAGTGACCAAAGCCAAGAAGAAATGCAAATGCTTGCTTCATGGCATCAAACGATGAAGAAGAGGTGAAAAATACCACTTGGGTTGTGGATAGTGGATGTTCGAGGCACATGACCGGAATAAGAGGATGGTTCACACACCTCAAAGAGAAAAGTCATGGACATGCGGAAGAAAGTCATTGGTTAAGGTACGATAGGTATTTCAAGTGATTTTTCAATAAATGATGTTTATCTTGTTGATGGCCTAAAATTCAATTTAATTAGCATAAGTCAACTTTGTGACAATGGCCACAAAATTGAGTTTAATGCGAATTCCTGCGTTTTATATCGCCAAAATAAAGATGAAATCATTTTTGAGGCTAAAAGAGATGGAAACTTATACAAGTTCAATTCCAATGACTTAAGTAACTCAAAAATCACTTGTCTTACTACTTCACTTGAATTTTCAACATTATGGCATCGTAGACTAGGATATGCTAGTTATGATCTTTTGAGAAAACTTTACTCAAAAGAACTTAGTGTTGGGCTACCAAAGATGAGCATACCTACTTCTCGTTTTTGTGATGCTTGCTCCCTTGGAAAACAACATAAAGTTTCATTTAAGCCCATAAAAATGGTTTTAACGTCAAGGCCACTTGAACTATTACATATGGATTTATTTGGGCCCGTAGACGTTCAAAGCCTAGGTGGAGCTAGTTTTACGTTTGTGATGTGAAGCATGCTGGGGTGTGAAGCCTGCTCCGGACTTCCAAATAAAAAGAGAGTACAACAGTTAACAATCAAAAAGGGCATGGAGAAATTAGTAAAAGGCCAAGGATAAAAGAAAGAAGGGCATTTACCATGCGGGTATACTCCTCCAACATAAATTGCCAAACCGGGCTCTCAACCGCATCCGGATGGTCCCTCCAGAACTGTTCCATCTCGTGGAGACGACGATTGAAGTCCCGTCCAGCCCAAGACGTGTATCCCGTGAATTGATGGGCCTCCCGGGCATAGGGATATGGCAGGTCGCCAAAGGCAATACCCTCTTGCTCGATAGGAGGCTCATCCCTGGCGGCCCCCATGGATTGGCCGGCAGACTCTTCCAAGCCATGGGGAGGGGTGGAATTCTGGCCTCGCTTGTTGTAGGCCTGTGAAGAGGAAGACCCGGTCTCATGTGTTGCGGGACCGGAATCGGCAGCATGCTGGATGGAGGGACAGACAATGGCCCGATAAAAGCTAGAGGACCGGATTAGCTCCTCTAACTCCCTAAAGGACCGCTGAATGTCCGCTCCGGGAAGAGGAGCGCCCTTGACAAGGGGCGGTCCATAAATGCTCTCCACCGCCGATTCTACAAAGTTCTGAGCAGTGGACGGATAGAGCTGAGAAGTAGCATCGTCCACTCCAAAGCCAGAGGAGGGGGAGAAATGCTAGGAACACTCCGGGCTGCAGTAGATCCCCGGCCCATTCACCCGAACATGGGGCAGCTCAAGGGATCCCTGGGAACCAATGGCCAGGCCGATGGGGCGGATCCCACTGCTTTGGGGGTGGGAGCCCTTTGAACCCACGAGCTGAATAGAGGAAGAAGCCCCCCTACCAAAGAGAGGGGTGTGAGGGATGGCCGGGATAAAATTTGGCCCCTAAAGGACCCCCGGAGAGAAGTGGTAGAGTTCATCATCATCGGAGACGTCTTCCACTTGCACCTCCTCTTGGATGGCTTGGTTGGTAAGAAGAAGAGGTTGTGGTCCCCACCTCTTCTTCTTCCTCAGTGTCCTCAAGGGAAGGATCTCTCCAGGAAGATCGCCGCGACCCCCATCGAAATGGTGTGGTCTTGGGGAGAGGAGCCCAAGAAGAGACGGTGTTCCCCGATATCGCTTGGAGAGGAACATCGGGAGACACCCAAAACCCAAGACCTCGGAAGTAGGATATCTTGGAGAGGAGGGCGCGGGGAACTGGGTGGCCATTCTTGAGAAGAAGGCGAAAGATCCCCTCAAGGTCCGGAGTGCGAGGAGGAAATGTGTGGGAAGGAAACTTATCATCCTTCTTCCTCCACACGTTGGGAAAAGGGAGGTCCTCCAGTGCCATCACCACGAAGAAACGGCGATACCAATCATCGATCTTGTTGACCGGGCTCTCCAGAAACTGCATATCCGTCTAGGCCGTGAAGCTCACGTACCCCCTGCTCGTTTCACTATCATATTTATGGGGACGGAAGAAGGAGAGGAAGAGTTCCAAAGTAGGCCAGATGCCTTTCTTGTGGCATCGAGCCAGAAAGCAAGATATGGACTCGTGAGAATTGGAGGAGATTTGGCCGGGAGGGATAGAGTACCGGTTGCAGATCTCCACCAGAAGGGGATGGATGGGGAAACGCCGTCCCATCCTGACTTAATCGTAATGGACGACCAAGTGGCGGGGAGTGTTCTGATTGCGCTCCAAAGCAGTCTCCTCGGCCTCCCAAACTTCATAATCGGGAGAAATCATCGCCCTCATCTCCCTCATTTGTGCGGCGGTGATAGAGGAGACACTCTCATCCTCCTTGGATTTTTTGTTGCCATTGAAAATCTTGGAAGCCTTGGAGATGGCTTTCTTCATTTTGGAGAAGGAAATGATTGGAAATGGAGGGGGCCGAAAGGAAAGTAGAAAACAAAAGCTATGAATGGTTATGAGGGCGTGGGGAAAGGGAGAATGAGACTGGCGAATATATAGAGGGAAAAGAGGAAGAGAAGTGGTCCATGTGCAGTTAAGGTAGTGAAAGGATGCCAAAAAGAATCTCCTCAGGAAATGTTCCAATCCCTTTTGGGGTGGGCCAGGGTCATTTAAGTGGGCACAATTCCAGAACGGTCCACTCCCATTCCTAGAACGGTCCACTCCTCTTCCCCATGCCTGCGGTCCACTCTGGCCATTATTGAGGTGGGGTAAGAGGCCTTAAATGGGTTGCAGGGATCAGAACGGTCCACTGATCGATTGTGCGCCAGACGGTCACCTGGGGGGCCAATTGGCGCTACAGTCCAAAGAGAAGGATGTGGTTGCATGCATCCCACTCCCAACAATTATTTCCTACGGCCCATAAAAGATGCCTGATTGGGGACATCCACGGGAGTAACTTTTGCAGAAAGTGGTTTTTCCCAAAAAAGAATGAATCTTCGACAGAGAAGAAGAGCGAGAGTTTTCCCCAATCTATAAATGCAAGGTGTATTACAGTCAAAAAAAATTTATTTTTTGACTTGTAAAAAAGGGGCATGTGATGAGAACCAAGCCCATCGAGATAATATCAGTTAATTAGGCCTTGGCCCAATATAAGTCCCGTACATCATAAGGAAGATCTGGCCCAGAAAAACTGTACTGGGCCAGCAAAGAGACACGGTCCAGGAGATAAGATAGCGAAAAGAATAGGATTGGGGCCTAAGGATGGGCTAAACCCAGCCCATTAGAAACAAGTCACCCAAGAGGAAAGGAGCTCTACAGAGGAATTAGGGTAAGCCGCCCTCTCAAGGGAGGACAGAGACAAAGAATAAGGGATGGATGAGAGACAGAGAATAAAGGATTGACGGACAGATTTGTCCTCAAGTGGACGGCGTTAATTGCCCGGATATCCTCCCCAACCACCGTGAATATTTCGATGAAATGGTGGCTGGGGAACTCCTATAAAAGAGGAATGAAGTAAGAGAGGAAGGATAACTTGTAATAGAGAGAGAAAAGACATGAGTAATAATAAAGATACTCCGGCGGTCCTTAAGCATATTCCGGACCCTAAGTGGACCGAATAGAGGAGAGGATCACTGGTTTGAGTTCCTATGTTGTGTGCAGTACCTTCAATTACAGTCTATTACTATTCTCGTATTATTTCCTCACTATTATAAGGCCCGGATACTAGTGTTTGGACCTGGGCCGATCAAACAGTCCCAGAGAAAATATTAGGCATCCATCATATACAGTCCTCTGTTATCTTCGATTCTCGTCCTCAATCGAGCCAAAATCGAAGAAGACCCACCGTTTTGGTCTCTCGAATCTGATTTAATTAAAACCACTTTTTCAGACTTTACTTGAGAATGAGCATTATCTTATTTGAGAATGAGTACTACTTTTTTTAAAAATGAACATTACGTTATTTGTTATAATTATATTGAACAAATAAGTGAAAAATGAGTATTTTGTTATTTTAAAATGAGAACTACGTTATTTCAGAAGGAGTACTATGTTATTTCAAATAAATACTTATTTTTGTGTGAGAATGAGTACTACTTTACTTTAGAATGAGTACTACTCGAATGTACCCATCTTTAGGTACATCTAGAGGTACATCCGGATGTGCCATATACACTCTCGTTCTTCACCGGCCACCCCTCCCCTACACCCCAAAGTATATTATACAACCGGTTGCACCCAAAGTTGGGTACAACCGGTAAAAGAAACTGAAAAAATGCAATGATCGAAGAAATTCGGCGAAGGAGTAGAGGAGCCGATGAAGGGAGGGCAAGGATCGAAGAAGCTCGGCGAAGGTGGGAGAGGCACACAGACGACAGGAGGCACAAAGATCGATGGTGGCGAAAACAATGGAGAAGGGCAGCTAGTGAATCGAAGGCGGCGGAGTTACCAATCTTTTGAAGCTGGAAACCCCGTAGGTCATGAATTTTTCAGTGGAGAAGAAAAATTACAATTCAAGAGGTTTGAAGAGATTTTAATGGAATGAACGGTAAGTTAGTTAACAATACACACTACTTTATTTGAAAATAAATACTACTTTGTTTCAAAATGAACATTACGTTATTCAATCGTAAATGAATATTAGAATTGTATTAAATAAATGTGTGAAAATGAGTATTAAGTTATTTGAGAATGTGTACTACGTTATTTTAGAATGAGTACCACGCTACCTCAAAATGAATATTTATGTTGATGCGAGAATGAGCACTACTTTGTTTTAGAATGAGTATTACCCGGTTGTACCATATACATTCTCCCCCTACACTGCTAAAATATTTAAAGTTTTCTCAAACTTTTTTAAAATATCAATTTTCAAATATTAAAAATAGAAAAGAGTTTATTGGCAAAAATATTTCTTCCTTCCAAACACTATTATTTTTCCCCAAACCAAACACTCTTTTAGGCCAAAGCAGGTCCCTGTTTCGGTTACCAAACATAACCAATTTGTCTCATTTCATCTAGTCTGACTAGTATCACACCCGTGCGTTGCACGAGTCATTTTTATGTTATTAAATTCAAATTATTTTTCAATGATAAAAATGAGATGCAATAAAATATAGAGATTATATTATTTTAAGGTTAAAAACATCATTGTTTTACAAAATTCGAAAGACTTCTTTATAGACTACATTATTGTACAATTTGTGGGGATATTTATAGTATATTTAATTGTAATAGGCTATAGGCTATTATAATTATAATTATAATAAGAAGAGTTAACTTTTTTCGAAATTGGGTGGAATTATTCTTACCATAATTATTTTTGTTCGAAACTGGGTGTATAATTGTATAACTTACCTTTTTTAATTATTTCCAATTTTCAAAAACTTACTCTTTGCATTTGTATAACTTACCTATATTAAAAACATACGCTTTGGATTTGTATAACTTACATTTTTTAATATGGTAATTATTATAAATATAATATTTTATTAACTTCCGATGGCTTACCATTTTATATTACTCACGTTAATTATTATAAAAATAATTATATTAACTTCCGATGGTTAAAATGATAGTTACTTATTTTTACCATAATTTCAGACGTTTCCAATCAGTATTCAAAATAACGTTGGTTAATTATTAGCATATAATACATTGATTCCAATTTTATTAAAAACCTTACGCTTTGCAATTTTATAACTTACCTATTTTAATTATTTCCAATTTTCAATACGTTAATTATTATATATATAATAATTATATTAACGTCACGCTTACCATTTTATATTACTCACATTAATTATTATAAAAATAATAGCTATATTAACTTCACACTTACAATACGTTAATTAATTATTATAAAAATAATAGCTATTATTATAT